AGGCCCGCGGTGGGGCGCGGGGGCGCGGGGCGCGGGGCCCGCGGCGCCCGCAGAGGCCTGCCCTCCCGCGGCCGCGTCCTCACCTGACGTGAACAGCACGATGGCTTTGAGGCAGCTGTACTCGGCCGAGTCGACGTGCAGCGCCTTGAGCTTCTCCACCTGTTCCTGAAAGATGCGGATGTGGTCCATGAAGGCCACGACGCGGTCCGCCGACATGGGCGAGGCGTGCAGGCCCGCGGCGGCCAGCAGCGGCGCCACGTGCAGCGGCATGGAGCACTGGGCCGCGTTGAGCACGAACAGCTCGCTCCAGGTGAGGCGGAGCAGGGCCACCTGGTCGGTGATCTGCAGGTCCGGGAAGAAGGGGATGTTGCGGGCCCACTCGACGGCGCTGAAGAGCAGGCGCGCGGCCAGCTCGCAGATGTTCTCGATGCCCATGATGTTGTTGGGCTGCATGCACTGGCTGCCGTAACGCGACGTGGGGTAGGGCTCCGCGCGCAGCAGCAGCGAGATGTAGCCTGACAGGTAGCAGTGGCCATTGAGCGGGTCCCCGTTCGTGAGCGCGTACTGGCCTGGATTGGGCTGGGTCGGAGGCATTCTTCCTCGCTGAACCGCTGACGAAAAGAAAGAGAGGAAAGAGGCAATGTGCATCCAGGGCGCTTGCGAACCTCGCCTCGCCGCAGCACGCACCCCAGCGCGAGGCAGCCCTTCCCCGCAGCCCCACGCTCCAGGAGCATCTTCTGCTGGCTCTCCCTCACAGACCACACCGCCAGGACACCTGGGGCGAGGTCCTCTACCTTCCCCGGCGACGTCTCCAGCCACAGTCCGCACCCCTGGCTCTGTCAGCCAGGGAAGAGGTAGGCCTGGCTGCAAGGCCCCTAGCTCAGGATGGCCGAGAAAGCACCACCCAACCGCCCAGCTATTAAGAAGCAACACACAGATAAATGAAACCCCATTCATCCTCCCAGAATGATACAAATCAAACTTAAAAAAAAAAAAAAAAAAGAAAGAAAGAAAGAAAAAAAAAAGTGAAACCCGAGAAAGGCTGTGGTGCTAGCCACAGGCTTAACGCTCTTGCAAACAAGCAGCCCTCACTACATAAAATGTTCCCGTAATCTCTAAAGTGCCACAGAATCATCTTGAAAAGGAACACAGGTTACATATCTCACTGACCATTGCAAGTTTTGACCACAGGCAGGCACCTCTCTCACACACCTCCTCCCTCCCGTCTTCCCTCCTCCTTGTTGCCCCATACAAAGTTCTCACCATTAAAAGCAACAGAAAATGGAAAAATTTCAAGGAAAAGTTGAACTTACAGTAGCCAAACATTATTGAAAAAAGTAGGAAATATAATTAATGTCTGTCCTGCGCCGTGCGACTGCAGCCTGCAGCCAGCTTTTGCCCAGTGAATGCACGAGCTTGCAACTGCAAAAACACTGGATTCATTAACCATCTGAATGCAAAACGTAAGCATGCTTTGAGTTCTTAAAGCTGACCAAAGTCTTTTTTTTTTTTTATGTGTATGTTTTACTTCGACAGTGCCAGCATTTTAAATTGCCATGTAAACAAAGACAACTTTGGGGGAAGTTAGGGCTACTGAACTCCCCCCACCCCCCCAAACAGATTAAAGGTCCATGTCCAGAGAGCTGTCCTCCTTCAGGCTGTGCACTCTTTTCTTTGGTTTCTAATTCCAACAAGAGTTACCGTGCAATCTATGTTCTTGAAACACAATGGATAGAACACTTTTTCTAATTATAGTTTTGAACTTGGTAGTTATTTTTCAATTAAATGGGAGCACAATTCAAAGTTGTTGTTGTTGTTTTCTTTTTTTTTTTTTCTTTTTCCTTAGATGCCTACAGAATCTCTTTGGAGCTAGAAATGAAGTCATCATATTTGCCTTCTCCTTGAGATCTGAAGGAATTCAATTTCTTTTCTTGTGGCATATAAAATATAATTTTGAAGTCAATTACAAGAAGAAGTAATCTACATTCTGCAAAATTGACTGGTTCACTAATTTGACTATAAGATATCTTTAATGATTGCCAGGAGATAAACTTTAACTATAAACCGCCAAATATATTTGTTAGAAAAGTGCTCCATCTCATGCCACATGAACACGAAGCATATCTAAATCCAACATCAAAAGTTGTGTTTAATAAAAAAACCAAACCCCATACAGCACATAGATTAAATGATGCTGAAGTTCCTGCCAGCTGCCGTCTGTGCATTACAGCCAAATCAGAAGGATCGGTAAATGCCGTTGTAAATCGTAATTTGTATGCAGTATTTAAGCAGAGGGTGGAGTTTGATGAAGAAATAAAACGAGTATCAAGCTTTAAAAATGACACTACTATGAAGGCAGGGTTCAGCCACAAACTTTCCTTTCAAAGTATAGGGGTGAAAACAAGGCCACAGCTCGGGAGGAGGCGGCCCCGGAGCCCTGAGGAGGAGAGGGAATCAGTGAACAGGCCAGAAGGCCCCCTTCCCCCCTAATTAGACCTACAAGTGCAATAAATCTCGCTCCTCTTTTCCCAGCTAAGCTTCCTAAAGGAGGGTGGCAGCTATGAATGTGGCTCAGCGTCCTGCAGCCCCGGCCTCTCCCACCATAAAGAAAGGGGACGGGGAAGCTGAAGCGGAGGGGAAAGTGGGGTGGGAGACGGCAGCAGCAGCGGCAGCCCAGAAGCAGTTTCCTGCGGGAAATAAGCACCCTGCCCAAGTTCATGCCAGCACAGCCCCAGGCACCCTCACACACGAGCGGGAGCGAGACACACGGAGCACATCCACCGGAGGAGGGGAGGGAGTCTGCGACCACAGCTCGCGAGCCGGGGACGCGGTCCTGAGCAGGCAGCGGGCGGGGTGGGGAGCCGGGAGAGGAGGCAGCGCAGGCCGGGAGGGGGAGGCAGCGGCAGCGAGCTGGGGGGGGGGGCACGCCGGGGGAGGTGAGCGGCGAGGACGGGGGAGCCCGGGCCGGCCGGGACCGCGGGAGCCCCAGCCCCGCCGCCGCGGCCACCGGGGCGAGGGAGAAAGAAAGCGCGGGGAGGCGGGCGAGCGCGGGGAGAGAGCAGAGAAGAAATATTCACCTTCCCGCCTCATGCCCACTTTGAGGCACTTCTTGAGGCGGCAGTATTGGCACTGGTTGCGGTGATGCTGGTCGATGGGACAGTTCCTGTTGGCACGGCATGTGTAAGTTAAGTTCCTGCGGACGCTCCTCTTGAAGAAACTTTTGCAGCCCTCGCAGGTGAACTGGCCGTAGTGCTTGCCGCTCGACTTGTCCCCGCACACCACGCACTCGATGTGCTGCTGGCTCTGGCCCGAGCCGGGCGGGCCCTGGCCCTTGTCCCCCGCCGCGCCGGGGGTGGCGGGAGCTCCGGGCTGGCCCGGGGTCTGCGGCGTGTGCGGCGCGCCGGAGCCCGCCTGCTGCTGCTCGCCGCCGCCGCCGCCGCGGGCCGCCTGCGCTGCGGGGTTGGGGCCGCCGGGGTTGCCCCCGGCCACGTCGTCCTGCGGATCTCGCCAGCTGCTAACTACCATTGCCATATCTTTGGGCCCGGGGAGCGCTGGGGGGGAGCCGAGCTGCTCGCCGAGGGCCGAGGGGCGCGCGGGCGCGCCGGGAGGGGAAG